TTATATATACAATTCTATATTATATTTTAGAATATTTAAGTTTTCCTAATGAAGCAGTATTTTAAGATAAACTTTTATTCAGTAAAGTGATGATTGTGCATTATTTGTTATTAATTTAACTTCGCTCAGAGCTACAGGCAAAGCTGGACCTTTCTAACAAAACGGTCCACAACTCCAACGCCCAATTTTCCCAAAATCATTCATGCAGAAACTGCAACACACATTTCCCTTTAATTCACTCAGACAAACACAGCAGTAGATAACAGCAGGAACTCTTCTATAGTATCCCGAAAACATCTCCAAAGCAATAGCTGCTTGTCTACACAGATTTAGGATTTTTAAGGTTTTTCTAAGTTGGTAATGAACTAGAATGACATTTTTGTTAACTTGCTTTTGTAAATACGTATTTCTCAGTGATGCAGACTGAACTCCTGGTGTTGCAGCACAAAAGGACATCACTTCATCCTCATTTCCATGCCATGACTCTTCCCCACGTTCACAAGTTCTGTGTGGTTGCTTTTCAAGCCACAAATATGAGCACTTATTTTTTAAACAGAAGTACTAGCACTATCTTAATGGGAATTTCATTCTATATAACACAAGTCCACAAAGTAAGATACTCACAGCCTCAAAAGATAAGTTAATGTGTTCCAGGAACTTCTGCCTTAAGCTGTCAGTCAGTTCATTGAAGCGGTACCGCAGGAGATCCATTTCTTGTTGGAGAAACCAACGCCTGAGATCCTCCCTGCAAAGAAATTATTAAAAAAATGGATTAAAATGATTTAAAAAAGCCCATAATACCTTCTCTGATTACACAATCCTTCTTTATAAACTAGATTGCAGCAGGACGTGCAGTGTCAACTCTGGGTTGCTCTGAACGCATGGAAGCTGTTACTCTCTTAGGAATGACACTCACCATTTCCTACTTGTTTTAGGTAAGAATAACAAGCTAATTCATTTTTTAATGAATTTTTTAAGTTACCAACAGCTTCATGTTAACTTTTGAAAGGTCCAGCCACGGGCCAGAGCTCTGTTATACCAGAGGAGTCCTCAGTTTCAAAAGGAAGCCAGCAAGGGGAACACGGGTACAAAAAGCACACAAAAGTAAACGCTAGTCGGTGTAAGAGGTAACAATTTCAGCACACAAGGCAAATTGATCATATGGGAAAAAAATGGCAGGTAGCAGAGAAAAGGCCTTGCTAAGTTTGATAAAGAATTTGTGTCTTGGTTATGTGACACAGACAAAATAAAATAAAAATAAATTTTAAAAACCCACCACAAAAACACAAGCAAACAAAACACCCACAACAACCAAGCACCAAAGTATGTTTGAAAGTTTCCTGAACAGAAGAATTTCACTGTCAGAGCAGAGGCAGGATTTATTTCTTCCATCTTCAGTAAATAAAGTTAAGATTAAGCTCCTGTGACATTCCAGATTCTTCATAGCTAACCTGACAAAGCGAAGAGACACCACAACCAGCAGCAGAAACGCATGGCCATGGCCAACATGCAAGTCAAACTCTTCTTAGTGCTGTTTGCCATGAAAATTATGAATAATTATTATAGATTATTCTATTTTCTGCTCCTGACAGATGTAATGCCATTACAAGAGGGGTTAGAGAAGGGGACGGATGAGGCCGTTCACTCCAGTCTGCACACACCATATCACAGAATCCCAGACCGTTAGGGATTGGAAGGGACCTCCAAAGCTCATCCAGTCCAATCCCCTGCCGGAGCAGGAACACCCAGATGAGGTTACACAGGAAGGCGTCCAGGCGGGTTTTGAATGTCTGCAGAGAAGGAGACTCCACAACCTCTCTGGGCAGCCTGGGCCAGGGCTCTGTCACCCTCACTGAGAAGAAGTTTCTTCTCCAATTTCAGTGGAACCTCCTGTGTTCCAGTTTGTGTCCGTTCCCCCTTGTCCTATCATTGTTTGTCACCGAGAAGAGCCTGGCTCCATCCTCGTGACACTCACCCTTGAAATATTGATAACCATGAATGAGGTCTCCCCTCAGTCTCCTCTTCTGCAAACTAAAGAGCCCCAGCTCCCTCAGCCGCTCCTCAGAAGGGAGATGCTCCACTCCCTCCATCATCTTTGTAGCCCTACGCTGGACTCTCTCCAGCAGTTCCTGTCCTTCTTGAACTGAGGGCCCCAGAACTGGACACAATATTCCAGATGCGGTCTCACCAGCAGCATCACCAGGGAGGTGTCCCTGCCCACGGCGGGGATTGGACCAGCTGATCACTGAGCACCCCAAATCATCCTAAGGTTTCAGAAGGCAGAAGGAGAGTCAAGAGATGACAACTATGTTACCAATTTAGCCGACAGGAATGGTGTAGCTGCCCACCTCAGACCATTTATAACAGTGAGGACTGAAGCAGAAAATATTATTATACAACACAATTACTATATTTATATAGAAAATATAAAGCTGATGTGAGCTCACACCCCTGGGTGGCACTGTTGGCCAACCAGAAACGCCAAAAGTCAGTGTTGCAGGAAAGCACAACTGCCTGCAGACCACAGGCAACTGAATTCAGCCCTGTTTGCTCTTATCTCTATTTAAGTGCACTCTTCCAAACACTCCTACCTTGATAGCTTGCAGCAACTAAAAGCTACTTGAAGTGGAAACCGACTGTCAAGATGTTTTACTGAAACTCTGCATCAAACCAGCTGTATGTAAACAAGAACACAAAAGTACATTTATTTCCAAGTAGTTAAAGAGTGCCCTGGTTCTCTGTTCTCCAGGGGTCTGGATTACAAAGCCAGGCTCTTTCCTGCCAATTCTGTGACCCAAAATAGCTTGTATTCATTTCTGTAGTAGTTCACCTTCAACAAGCTGCCCACCTCTGCCTTGCCTATAGCCTAATTCTGAAGATATTTCCCTGAAACACAGGGTTTGAACCACATCGCCCATTCATTTCCTGAGCAAGCACTGCAGTCAAACAAGTTCTCACACAAAAGACAAGGAAATCAAACTGACTAATCAAAAAGCCGCCAGCTGTAGAATAAGAAACATTACGTTTTCAAGGGCTTTTTAGTCACAGGCTATGTAAGGAGCACCAGAGCAGTCACACAGGAACACGGCCAGGGCTTTGGGTGTCTCCACACAAGGAGACTCCACAACCTCTCTGGGCAGCCTGGGCCATGCTCCACAACCCTCACACTCACAAACTTTGGCCTCAGCTTCAGCTTGAACCTCCTGTGCTCCAGCTTGGGACCATTGCCCCTTGTCCTGCCATTGGCCATCCCAGAGCAGAGCCTGGCTCCTTCCTCCTGACACTGCCCTTTCCCAATGGATCCCCAGGAATGAGGGCACCCCTCAGTCTCCTCTGCTCCAAGCTCCAGAGCCCCAGCTCCCTCAGCCGCTCCTCAGCAGGAGATGCTCCACTCCCTCCAGCATCTCATCTCGGCGGCCCTGCTGGACTCTTTCAAGCAGTTCCTGTCCTTCTGGAGCTGAGGGCCCAGCACTGGACACAAGATTGCAGCTGTGGTGTGAGCAGGGCAGAGCAGAGGGGCAGGAGAACCTCTCTGCCCTACAACCACCCCTTCTCATCCACCCCAGGATGGCCTTGGCCTTCTTGGCTCAAGGGCTCATTGCTGGCTCACGGGCATCTGCTGGCCCCAAGGACCCCCAGATCCTGTTCCCCAACAGCTCAGTCCATGGGGTTGTTCTTCCCCAGATGCAGTACCCTACACTTGCCCTTGCTGAATTTAATTTGGTTTCTCCTCGCCCAACTCTGCAGCCTGTCCAGGTCTCACTGAATTGCAGCACAGCCTCTGCAGTGTCAGCCTCAACTGACCCAGGACACTTTTCAAGAAGAAGCCCCATCCATTCCAGCTCCATATCCTGGCCTAGAGCAGGATCCCTCCTCCTCACCTTCCTGGTCTGGTTTTGCTCACACAGCTGTATGCCTTCACAGCAGCCCTTCAGCCATGTCAGCTATCACAGTACCATAATATGTATCCCAACACTTGCTTAATTTAAACAAACTGTATCACAACTTGAAAGTGCAATTGAATTAACAATTCAAAACAGCACACGCTTCACATCTGCCAGTTTTAATTCTAAAAAAGGACCGCGATGGCAAGAAGTCAGAGGAGTTCACACTGACACATAACACAGCTACTACCAGACATAACCCACTGACAACCTCTATGATTTCACCCAAAAACAACAGATGAAGCAGAAGGAATGCACCTGACAGGACCAACTTTGCGCTTGAGACTTCACACAACTAAAAACTGCAGTGCAACCATCCACGGCAATGAATTTGGAAGGAAAGCAGAGTCAACAGCGGAAACCTCCAACTCGGATGGTATTTTCAGTTTGCCAGAAACAAGGCTGTCTCTTTAGACCACAACATAAAGCCTATTTACAGAGCCAGGATCAGTAATCAACAGTTCAAGCTTACACAGCAGTTAATTTAACTTAAATTATCAGCCACTGCGGAATGCCTGACAAACATTAAACACTGGTGTGTTCTCATCTCAAAAAAGATGCCAAAAGGAAAAGAGTGAAATCAATGATCTGTGCATAAACCCCAAAAGGCTGTAGTTTGTCTTCTAATTATTACAAAATCCAGGTAGTAATTTTGACCCCAAGTATCCCTTTCCATCACAGCTGAAATCAAGCTCCTAGAAAAAAGGAGCCTACCTCTTTGTTTAGTAGCCACGCAACTCCAAAGTACCTGTAATGTCTAAAATAAGCAATGTAGTATCTGCATGCATTTAAAATGGAGTACGGTGTAATCCAAGAAGTACTTACGACTGGCAGTAAGCAAGGCGCAGTATGAAGTGTGAGATATGGTCTTTTCTTCTTGTCTCGTAGTCATCCTCAGCCAACGCCTACAGAACGTATAACTACTATTATTTCAGAGAAATAACCTCTCTCAGGTTAAAAACCCACAGTTAATTTCTCATTGCTGTCCAATAGCTTATTAATACTCATCCTTAAGACAATAAAGGGGGTTGTCCTAAAGAAAGAAACCTACACTCTCAAAGAGAAACTACATCTCTTCAGTTTTAGGAATAGTATTTCACCATCTCTACTTTTATTTAGAATTCTTGAATGGTGTAAAGAAAATAAAGCGCAAGAGAGCTCCCCTTTTTTCATTTGTACTTACTTTGTATTTGGGAAACTTGAGTTTCCGGATCTCACTCTCCAGCTTACTTTTGTATACATCACTGCCTTTTACATAGCTCACACCAAGGTTTTCAACTACTTTGAGCACTGGGAAAAAAAGAGAAAGTCCACGTTAGAGACAACATAGTGAAAAGAAACTTAACTGTATCATCCCTTGGGAAATGCACACACAGGGGTAAGGCCATGGGAACTGGCTTTAGTGGTTTGAGGAGCAAAGGGGTACAAATTACAGAGGATAAGGTGTGGCCCACAAGTCCTGAACACCACAACTCAGGAATCTGTATGGTCAATAAGGAAAGGGAGACAGTGAACTCTGACGGACCAGGCCCTGAATATTGGTTCCCACTGTAGGGGCAGAAACCTGAGACTCAGTGGGTTTTAGGAGTTCAGGGGAACCCTTGCTCCCAGCCACAGAGACCAGTATCACTGTACTGAGAGACATCAAACATGTCACAACACCTAGAAAGCGAAACATGCTCATAAAACCCACCAGTGTAAACCCAAACCATGCAGTGCTGACTGCTGCACACTGGATGCTCGTTGTGAAGTCAGTCACGGCTCTCTGAAATATCCAAAGAGACGCGTTTTCCTTCAAAACGGCTTCATTTCGGCACGAGCAGGCAGCCAGTCCACACTGATAACGGGCAAAGAACGCATCTAAGCCCATCAAAAATACCCCCAATCCACGATAGGAAGAGCCAAAAGCTTCAGGGGGAGCCGGGGACGCTACTCACGCCTCAAGCGGTCGACGGCAAAGCTCTCGAACTCCACCAGCGAGATGTTTTCCGTGGGGGGGTCCAGGTAGAACTGCAGGCTGTGAGGGTACAGGTCCCGCCGGTCCCCTGCCAGCAGCGGCCGGCTCCGGCTCGCCCACACGGCGGAGAACTCCCAAT